ATTCTATTCTATTCTATTCTATTCTATTCTATTCTATTCTATTCTATATTCTATATTCTATATTCTATATTCTATATTCTATTCTGTTCTATATTCTATTCTATTCCATTCCATTCCATTCTATTTGTGAAGGATTCTGGATTTGGAGCATATCTGCTCATTACAGAGATCTCTTGATAGGGCAAATGATCATTATATTAGATCAAGGTGAATGAACCTAACGAGAGAGAAGGCAAAACATCATCATCACTAATACCTGTGAACTGTGTATATATGTGTGTATGCTTGTGCATGCACATGTGCGTGTCTTCAGGTCAATGTTGATTCCTGGTAACTGGCTGGAAACATCCATGCATTCTGGCAAGGTTTTTCAGTTGTGGTTTGCCATTGCATCATTCCCAGGGCTGACAGAGAATGATTGACCCCCTGGTGACCCATCTGGCTTTGTGGCTAAGGTGGGACTTAGAACTCAATCTGTCATGCTATCAGAGATAACTAGACTTGAAAACTGGAGTGCAGGGAAAAAAAAGTATGATCTCACTTCTACTTCTGACACACTGTTTTATCTGAAGGGAAGAATAAACTTTTGCAATAGTATTCAGAGCAATTAGGTGGCTATCAATTTTATGTACAAAGCTTGAGTCTATAAAAGTGAAGCTGTTTTTCACTGTGTTTCATCAATAGTTTAAATGAACTAGGAAAAAAATTCTGTCTCAATCAATTTCTATGAATCCTTAGATACACCCCAAGGCAGTATAATAAAGTTGGTTTATCATTTCTCTAAAATATTCCATTCTTTCTAACAAAACAGAACATGAAATGGAAATTCATCCCTCTGTCCTAAAAATAAATAGATCAATGTCAAACACACATCTTACTGTTTTAATTTAAATGCAAGCCAAACAGGAATGACCTAGTCTCTAACTAACTATTGAGTCTATTTTATTTATTGATGTGTGATATTTATATCCAGGTTTTCTCCATCAGTTTCCCAGTCATATGCAGTACTCCCTTTTCCTGTTTTCATCCCACTCTAAAATTGGTTACACACTCTAGTTCCTAAAGAATATGAAGAATACAAAAGGTTACTAAGCACCCAAAATACTGAGGCAAAGGTTTTATTTATTTTTTATTGCTTTGCTCTCTTCTCCCACTGAGAAATGTGAAAATATGGTTGTTTACCACAATGCGAGCCCTTTTAGGTTCTTATATCCCTGAACCAATGCAATTTTTGTCACCACTGGCCACTTAGAACAATATTTTATCTTACCTTTCTCGCCTCGTTTTTTCTTAGTCCTGTCAATGTGGTCTTTGAGCTGGATGCGAACTTGCCTTTCATTTGGCTGATCTCGAATAAATGGGTGCTTCATCAGCTGTTCAGTGCTTGGCCTCTGGCCATGGTTTTTCACCAGGCAGCTTTCAATGAAGGACTGGAATTTTTTGGACCTATCAAATCAGAGAATTGGGGATAGATGTGCAGGAAAAGGTTAGGTTAATAACGGTATTTATGAGTCAGGGTTTTGCCAGTCTTGGAGAATGTTAAAAGGATTGTCCCTATAAGACCACCATATATTCTGTGAACATGTTAGTGTCAATCCTGACGTGAACCTGGCTGAGGCCATCTTTGAGGCTTCAGAGTTGCCACTAGATGGGAGAGAGTGGGGAATAGTTAACTGGGGTTTTGCAGTCAAAACAAAAGGTTTTCCTGTGGGACCCAAGGTCATTCCAACAGGTAGCTGGGAGATGAGGAGCAAAGCAACCAAGTAACTGGCCAGCACTTCTGTTGGACCATGTGATTGATGACTCAGGGAAAGGGGAAAACTTTCTCTTTTAGTTAGGTGAAAACCGTGGGGACTTTCAGAATCAGTTTTCACCTGTTATGCCAATGTGATATATCCAATAAATTGTTCTTTGAAGAATTTACCAGCCTCAGAGTTCTGCTTTCAATGGGTGTATTACTTGGAATGTTGACAGTTAGGTCAGCAAGTTGGTGAACCCTCCAATCTTTTATCAAATTAGCTAAGAATTAAGTGGATTCTTAGAATTATATTTTTGATATCCCGCCGAAGAACCTGAGGTAAATTATTTTATTTTTGAAGACTTTTTAGGCTTTTCTTACTGCCTTGAGGAATACCCATCAAATTCAATACACTTTTGTAATTATATACAGGATCATTCTGTAACTCCAATAGAATGAAAGGGAGTAAGAAGGATAAACGAGCAAGGAATTAATATTTTTATATATTTTATTTATAAATGGACAATTAGAGATAATACCAATGACAGAAACAATTAGCAAATTCAGCTGCTACTAATGCAGGAAGTCTAAAAATATCCCATGTGTTTCAGTAGAAATCAAAGAGACAATGCTCTAGAAAGTTGCTGCCTTGTTTGGATGCATGCATGAATATGTGTAAATGGAAAAACAGGGCAACAATATTTTCTGCTGAAATTGTCAATGAGCTGGAAAGATAGGTGAGTATAATGCTTTGCCATCATATTTTCTAATGATGAATTCCACTTCAATCTACAAACAATATATTCAATTTAGGTTTGGCTTATCTCCAAGAGCCTTGTAAAAATTCAATCGTAAAAATTTATAAATTGTGGCTTTGTTCATTTTCCAATGTTTTATCCCCTATTTGGATACCATTGACAGTGCCAGGTAATTTCCTACATTTTGTGAAACAGGAAATAAATATTCAGATGATCTCTAAAGAACTTTTTTCTGTTTTCTAACTGAACATCATGATTTAAGATAATTTTAAACAGTAGCAGAAGTTACCTTGCTTAATCATATTGCATTTTAAAAAATGGTTTAAATATGAATTATTTTGCATACCACTAATTACTAGTGTTCTGAAATAATTAATAATATGCATTTTACCAGAACTATCTTGTTCTTTTGTTACTCAGTTGGCTAACAAAAGAACAAGATAGTTCCAGGAAAACTCAACATAGATAATTCATTCATGTAACTCAGTATTATCTAAGCTAGTTTGCTATGACTCTCCCCCCCCCCCCCCATAGTTTTTGTAGTCTTCCCTGAAGTTCATCATCATCATTTTCTTTTAACAACCCCATAATCCCTTGTTTGGTGGAGTCTGGGCAACTGAATGGAGCTAGCAGAGTGTTTAATGGCCGGATGCCTTTCCTGTCATCAATGCGAAGTTTTGTTTAGCAGATATAGTCTCATTGTGCCCAAAGAGAGAAATATCTGCCTCTACCTAGAATTGAACTCACATCTTTCTGATTGTGAGGCAAGAACATACATACCATATACTGAAGGCATTTTTTTTTGTTCATAGATCTTACAGTGTCTCACTGATATGCAACAAAAACCTAAATTTCAGACTGTTTGGAGAGACTGTTCGAAAAACAGAGGAAAAAGTGCAAAAATGGATTCTCCTGTGCCTGTTGCCATACAGCCCTATCTGATAAAACCTGTTCAAACACAGGGGAATATATTTTCAGGAGAGCAAAATAATTTAATCGAGTTCAACCTTGCCAATCAAAAAACAGCTCAAGAGGCATCAGATCGCTTACCCCATTGCTTTGGATAAAGCAAACGTTTTGTGTAAATTCTGCAGGCCCTTAAAAAAGCAAGCCCAGGATTCTGAATGTGTCCTCACTTTTTACAAGAGGCTTTCGTGAGTATCAATAGCTTGGGAAGAAATGGCTTCTCCATGTTGAACAGAGACGAACATTGGATGACTGCAGCTCTGTGGCAGCTGACCCCTAAGAGACCCAGTTGCTGCTGGATTATCTTTTAAACGATTCTTACATATACTCCATATGATAAACAGCTTCAACTTTTATAATGGTTGACTATATGTAATGGATACATTTCTGAATGCAAAAACAAAAGAATGGAATTCCTGACACCAATCTGCTTATGCGCAGCAGCTGTCATCAAATGATAATCCACAGGCTCAAATAAAAATCCGAATGTACTATCCACTGAGAGAAAAAGAGTGTCTGGTATTTTAATCCATCAAGTTAGCAAAGAATGCTGCTTATCAACAAGACTTAGTGTATCACTCTGGAGCAGATACTTCCTCTAAGCATAATTACAAGGGTGTGTAGGTAAATAACACCATTAATAAAGGGTGCGAACCAGGCTTTGGAGTAAGAATGCTAAGAAGGCTTTGGAGTAAGAATGCTAAGAAGTAAGTACATTTACTTCTAACAAAAGGTCTTCTCGTGGTAAATGCATTTATCTTTGAGAAGGGGTGTTGTAAAATGTTACAAGTACAGGTAATCTTTGACTTACAAGTTTGTTTAGCAACTGTTCAAAGTTACAACGGCACTGAATAAAGTGACCTATGATCATTTTTCACACTTATGACCATTGCAGCCTCCCCATGGTTACATGATCAAAATTCACTTGGCAACCGACTCATATTTATGATGGTTTCATAGTCCCCGGGTGGTCATTTGATCCCCTTTTGCTACCTCCTTACAGGCAAAGTCAATGGGGAAGCCAGATTCATTTAACAACTGTATTACCAATTTAATAACTGCGGTGATCCACTTAGCAACTGTGGCAGTAAAGGTCTTTAAACAGGGCAACATTCACTTAACTGTTTTGCTTAGCAGCAGAAATTTTGTGCTTAATTGGGCTTGTAAGTCAAGAACTACTTGTATAATTTGTTAAAACCAAGTTGATCTTCTTTTTCAGATGATAGTGCTTTGATTTATCCCATTTCCTCTACTTCCAAGTGTTATCCCAAAAGCAGGGAGCTACCTAATAAGGCCAAAGGAATGCTAGCTGAGATTTATGGGATCTGAAATTCAGTATACTTGGAGGGCATTTGTTACCCCAGGCAGCAGCTGTCTGCCCGAATTGTATTTCTTTTCAACCACTAGGAGGGGCTTTTGCAAAGTCAATGGGGAAGCCAGATTCATTTAACAACTGTACTACCAATTTAATAACTGCAATGATTCACTTAATAACTGGGACAAAATTCACTGAACAAATGTTTCACTTAGCAACAGAAATATTGGGCTCAATTGTGGTTGTAAGTCGAGGACTATCTGTACTGCAAGGAACTTTGTGAGAGGCTGCAGCTATGAATTTCCTCCATGTGCCATGCTGCTTTCACAGGCTGTTAAATCCAACTCCTGTTCAGTGCAGGACATTATCTACTAATCCTCAACCCACCACAAGGTCCCTTCTCAGTGAAGATTGGGCACTGTTGAAACTGTAGTTCAGATAGAATTACCATCAATTATCAAATTGGCTGAGATAGTTTTGTGTGTGTGTGTGTGTGTGTGTGTGTGTGTGTGTATTCATGGAAATAAATTGAATTTCAATTAATGTTGACAAGATGTTCCTGCCCCAATCTTTCTGATCTCTTCCTGATGGATTGGGATTTACAACTCCCAGGAATGCAGCTGACTGGGAATGCAGGCAACTGTACTTGCAAGCAGGATATATATTCAACATTAGCCAAATCCTTTTTGCAATTTTATCTTACAAATACAGCATGTTTCCACTTTTATAGCACATAGATAACTTTTAAATTACAAGCACAGGGGACCTGTGATACCTTCTCCCACATATTACCGAATGAAATAACTGCACTGTATCCAATTCCTTCATTACCAAATTCAGGAAGCCATGTGATAACAATTTTCAGGAGTAGAAAAATGTCAGGGGAACTTTGTTAGAGAAAATAGGAAAAAAATGTAAAAGAAAATTCAGACAGGTGTTTTCCATAAGTCGAATTCGCCATGCTGCAAGAATTTTCTCCAAATCACAAAACCTGTTTATGTCAGCATTTTCAAAAGAACACGATTAACAAACAGGCTGCACCTTCTGTACCAAAACTGTGTGTGGATTTTAATTTCAACTTTTACTTCACCCCCAACTTGGCCCTCCCTTCTTATCTTCTTCTTGGCTAAATCTGTTTGTTTGGCTTTAAATAGTTGCCCATCTCAAATACAAGACACTGGGTGGCTTACAATAAACAATAGCATTCCTGACCTACTGGCAAAGTAGGAGAGATGGATTATCGAAGATATAGAGCTGTGTTTATCTGGCATTCCCAGCTGTCCAGCTTCTGGACAGACTACTTTGCATAGCCAGATTATCTCCCTTGTTTTTTCTATTTCTGCTAGCAGCAGGAGTTACACAGGGTCACTGCAGCAGGCCTTCTGTCACTACTACATCATGTTCATCAGTAATTCACAGTGATAAGTCATCAGTATCTTTCTCAAGTATCCAATGGTTTTTGGAAAAGTTATGTCTAAATGCACAGTTTTTCTTTTCTTGCATAAAATAGTGTGAAATATTTTCAGCTAAACTGAGATATTCAATAGAAGAAAATATACAGGGCTCCAACTGTAGTCTTTTAGTGCTAATAGAGAAACTGAATTGAAAGGACTTTCGAGGTCTTAGTGTAGTTAGTTTACTTTATTGTCATTGCACCTCGTACAATGAAATTAAGTACCATCTTCAGTGTACATTGTGATTATGAAAATAAACACAAGCACACATTCTTCACAGTCTATACATTGAATGGAAAACCCCTGATATTGCATTAATATTGCACTATACAGTAGAATTCATTAGAGTTATTGTCCTGGGATAGAAGCTGTTTCTCAGTTTATTTGATCTTGTTTTTATTATCCTGTATCATCTGCCAGATGGTAATAGTTCAAAAGAAAAGGGTGCCCAAGATGAGATAGATCTTTGAAATAACTTTCTTAAGGCAGTGGGAGCTATAAAGCTCCCCCAAAGAGAGGAGAGGACAACCAATGATCTTCTGGGCAATGACATTAACCCTCTGGAGTGTTTCTACTCCAATCTCCTGTTCAGGCAGAAAACCCTATACTATTTAAGACTATTTAAGGTTGTCCAATCTCTTGTTCAAAACTTCTAGTGTTGGAGCACCCACAATGTCTGGAGGAAAGTGGTTCCACTGATTAATTGTTCTCTCAGGAAATTTCTCCTTAGTTTTAGGTTGGTTCTCTTCTAGAGTATTTTCCATCCATTGCTTCTTGTCCTACCTTCAGGTGCTTTGGAGACTAGTTGATCCGCTATTCTCTGCGGCAGCCCCTGAGATATTGGAATGCTGCCAATAAGACCGCTTCTGGACTTTACAACAGGTTCTCCAAACAAACTACAATTGTTAAATGTTGCTTTCTTCTCTATCATGAAAGCTTGAAAATTAAATGTGGAAGGCTAACAAGAAGGTGGCTGCAAAGTGGTTTAAAAAATCAAAATGGCAGCAATGAAGGTGCAATAGAAGTTTTGTTTTTAATGTATGTCAGAGATGCAATACATATAAAAATGATGCCATTTGCTTTCTGACTTACGTATTTAATTCCATGTAGGCATCACCCAACTCTAAAATGACTTTTTAAAATCGTACCATGTAGTTCCCCCATGTCAACAAGGATCAGAAATCTAAACAGCTTCTATATCTAGTGAGATTGAGAACATGATCAAAATTAGAGCCATGCAAAACTTCAGTTTGAAGATTTCATTATAAAGTAATTTGATCAAACAACTCTCTTTGAATCAAATTGCCAAGATAAGATAATATGTCAAATAGAATCAGTTGCTTTCAAAACTATTTGAAGATTTAGTGGACTCCATGAGTACAAAAATACATTTTTGTCCAATCAAAACTTTGCAATGAAACTAATCAATTTGATTTGAATTGCAAACTCAGATTGAATTACACATTCAAAGACTATCTTGAGAGATTTATAACCCCTAATTAATATATGTATGTAAATGTATGACTAAGAGTCTATTTTTCTTTAGTGTCAAAGTGAAGAAGCACAGCAGGCCTCAATAGGTAATGAAAAGATATGGCTTTTATTGATGAACTGGCAGTCACCAAGCAAAGGGTGGATATGGATTAGGACCACATTGATTGATTAATTATCCTGCCTTTATTAATTTTGTAAATAACTCAAGGCAGCAAGCAGCAAACCCTTCTTCCTCTTCCTATATTTCCCCACAACAACAACCCTATGAAGTGAGTTGTGCTGAAAGAGAATATCCAGCTTAAGGTCATCCAGCTGGCTTTCATGCCTAAGTCAAGACTAGAATTCACAATCGCCTAACTTCTAGTCTGGTGCCTTAACCACTGGACCAAAATTTGGACCTGCCTTTTGCCTGATAAACCTATCAGTGCTCAGAAATCTATGGCAATTGTTTGGATTGTCAATATGGAAAAGTTTAGACTCACACAAGATATTCAAATTCTTGTAGATACACCCACAACATTTCATTGCTGCAGTTGATAAAGAGAAAGTAAAGTATAATAGCTTCTTGCAGCACGCACATAGGGAGGGTAGAAAAATATACACTCACCACTTCTTTGATTTCAGCCTGGGGGCTGGGTTTCGGGGAATGAGAAACAAGGCTCTCATAGGATGCATATCACAAAGGGCTGAAAAACCAAAGAGAGAGAGAGAGAAAGGCATGAAACAAATAGTCAAGTGTAAGGGCAAAAAGAGAACATTCTAGTAAAGACATTGAATTCTAGGATAAAATTCTCATGTGATGTAGGAAGATAAATTTAGTGACTAGGTTTACAGATCCCACTTGGTCATAAGATAAGTGAGGTTATCTCTGAGGCTCTGATGCATAGTTTGACCGAGGCCTTAATCATAGCTTATTTGTTGTTTGGAATGAAAAAAGGGCTTTGATCAGATTACTTCTGTATGGACTCTCTCTGTTTGTGGAGTCTAGTAGTCTTCCCATTTTTCAGAGGATCTCTGAATGATAAAGCAGCAGAAGGATGTCTAGAAAGCCACTGAAAAAAGATGATTAATGCTTCTGAGTACAGGTATGTGTCCTTCTTAAGGACTAACTTGTGACAGTACAAGAGCTAAAATATAACAATTTAACTGCTTTTACTGAGTCCATGAGTCCACTAATGCTTTCCTCAGAACAATCTGGTCACCCCTGGATAAGGAGAAGCTGGAAAAGTCAGAGAAATCATTCAGGTTTCTTGGAAGTTGGAATCTGCCTATGCAATTCCAATGGCGCTGATTGAGACATGGTTGCAACTTGGTTACCGTAGATGAGTTTGAACGTGTTAGTTCTAAGGAAGTGGACAAGGTCCTTCAGGAGATCGGTGTGACCACTTTTACTTCAGATTCATGTTCTTCCTAGTTGTTTAGGACCTCAGGGGAAGGTTTCCATGGTTGGATTCACACTGTGGTAAATACATCTTCAAAGGAGTAGATAGTTCCACTGGCTCTTAAGGATGTGGTGATCCTCCCCCTCTTTAAGAAGTTATTGCAGGATCCAACAAAGCTGCACAATTTTCATCCTGTCTCCAACTGTCCCTTTTTAGGGAAGGTTATTGAGTAAGTGATCATCTGCTCGAAAGGGCCAGAGGAAATGGATTATCTGGAATCCTTTTAATCTGGGTTCCAGCCAAAACAACATTGGTTGCACCTATGACAGTTTCAAGCTGGAGGGAGTACATCCATCTCTCCCCCATCTTCCCCTCCCCCCTGAATTTCAATTGGCCCCGAATCTATTACTTTTTAGGAAGATTTTAAAAGCTTGGGTTTTTGGGTAGAATAGAAGAGCCTATGTCTTTGAGAAACCTGTATGTTGATAAACCTGTATGTAGTAGGAATTGTCAATTTGGGGCATTTTTGTTGATATCGCTGGCTTTAATTTCAGTTTTTGTTTGACTTCATTAATGTACACCACCTAGAATCATGCTCATACAAGTTGGGCGGTCATATAAATCTTGTAAACAAACAATCAAAATGCTTTGCTTGTTTATCGCTTAGCACATTGTATACATCTGGCATCTGAGATTTTCTGACCCACAAAGTCTCGGTGTGTTGGGTGATCCCTGCCTATTGTGGTTTATTCAACAAAAAATGCTTTAATTATAGCTTAGGGTGCCATGGGAAGCCATCCTATCAATTTGTGTCTTCATACTTTCTAAGGTAGGTAATTCTTCCCCTAGTCAGATGCCACTGCTGTTGTTTTTTCTATATAGTTAAAGAGAAGCTCTGCTTAGAATCATGAAGTTGAAAAGGGTTATTTAGGTCACTGAATCCAATTCCCTGCTCAGTACAGGAATTTAACAATCCCCCAACAGCTGGCTGCCAAGTTTATGATTCCAGTAATTCCCTAGGTAACCACTTTCAAACTGCTCTGTTAGAAGCTTTTTATTAACATTCAGCTGGAATATGACATAAGTCCATTATTCTGTATGCTACCCTCCAAGACAACAGAAAACCACGACCTTCTTCAATGTTGACACTCCACTAGATACTTGAAGAGGACTATCCTCTCTTTCATTCCCCATGGTCTTCTGTTCTGAAGTTGAATTTTAATTTTTGATAATGGAAATGTTTTAACAGATGCAACATTTATGTTTTCTACTTTTAATGTCATTTTTATTATTAAATTCTTGTTATGCAAAGTTAACATTGATTTAAATGTCATGTCTCTAGCCATCCACAATTTCATGTCAGGGATAAAATTCTAACTAAGCATTTCCCAGTAATTCTTTCAGTTGCTTTGTTATATCAGCCATATGGATAGCTCCATGTGTATACAAACTATAGGAGATAGAACTAATAATTAAAGGAAAGTTTAATATGACAGAAAGGAGAATGGAAAGAAATTAAGCTCATCTCCTGGTGCATATTTATTATTATGGTCCAGTTGGTATAAGACTATCAATAAATCTAGCCAAAAACTCAATGTATTATGGTTTGTTGCATAGATAGCCTGATGTTCAGACTGGACCTGGCATTTTTATCCACCTATTGAATCCTTCCCAAGGACTGGAGATGTGAATGTCTGATGGTGCCAGAGATATCATTGCAGAATTAAGTTAAATATTGCATTTCTCAGAAGGTTGAAAGGGGCAGGAAGCTGCATTACCATTGTTATTATTTTGGTCTCTCACTCAGCCAGTTGTGCAAACAGGATTTGGCATTCTTATTCAGCTATGGAGTCCTTCTCAAGGATCTGGGATAGGCAGATGTGGATGTTTGATATTACAGATCAAAGGATGTAAGCTGTTCTGAGTAAAGGCCGCCTTTTGCAATTGACCGATGGTGAATTTGTCAATTCTGATAGTGTTCAAGTGG